CTGATACCAATTGAAATTCTGGTATGCAGATCTCAGATGTCCCAAAAACATTGATCTCTGCTAAAATAGAACAAGGACAAAGCATGACTATTTTAAATCCCTTTAAGAATTACCAATGTCATGACCAATGTCATTACCTCTGCTGTAACATCTGCAAACTGACAGAACTATTTATCTAACCATTTAAAGTATGCAGAATTAAAAATGTTGAAAGATAAATAACACAATGAATTGTTAACCCACTTCAGTGCAACATCACCTACATCTGGAGGCTACCAAGCCAGGAAGGAAATCCACTATTAGCATAATTAATTCAGAGCTAAACTCCCCCGTTTACAACCCCTCACTTAATCTCTACCCAATGCAATTTCTGCCTAGAACCCACTAGACAAGAGACACCTCTCACTCCCCCTCAATCACATCAGTGATAAACAATTCAATACAAAAGAAAACTTTAGAAGACACTTTTCAAAGTCACAATACTTGATTTTGCTTAACGGCTTCAATCAAGGACAATACACTCTTGCTTACAAGCTTTGAGTGAACATTTAAAATTGACCAATAACAACTACCAGCCACAATATGTCTACCACAATGCATCCAAAGATACAAAGGGTGACTTACAAAGTCACACACAATGGGCTCTCAAAATCCTAAACCTTTATTTTACACTCAAGTTTTTCTTGTTGTGAGTGCTTAATTTCCCTTACTTCTGCGCCTCCTTAAATAGTAATGCAGTCTGGGCTTGGGCTGATAAAAAATAACATAAATTAGGTTTAACCAAGTTAGCCTAATTTCCATAATTCAGATGTTGCGAATTAGGTCACAGCTGCTTCATGTTATGCCAAGCCCTGACTAGAATCTCGCCTAAGATAACTAAGGAGCCATAACAGGTTTCCTGAAATATAGCCTGAGCTTCCTCTTGCAATATAACAGTAAACCTAAACACGCGCCCTGATGTCATACGCTTGATGTTATAACATCCAGCATGACATCCAACAAACTTTGTTCTTAGCTGACCAAACTCACCCTGCAGTACACTCCTGCAGAATCTTCTTCATAACAGTAGAAACAAATATATTATAGTTTCTTAAAAAGTCTCAGAGATCCTTTTCATGAACACCAATTAAATCTGCACTTTCATGTTATGAATATCTTTGACCTGCACACACTTGATGAGATATATCTAACATGATCTCATCAAACTAAACCACTTCTGTCAAGTGATATAAAATAGAAGCTCCTGCTGTACCAGACAGTGATGTCATGACATTGGTAATGACATCCTGATTAAAACACATGACAACAGTACTGTCATCAGCTCCTGTTGTACCAGACAACAATGTCATGACATTGGCAATGACATCCTGATTAAAACACATGACAGCAGTACTGTCATAACAGTAGATTTGGATGTTATGACATCTTGTTTAACATCAGTGCAGAATCATGTTTTACCAAAATTTAGCCAATCATAGAACCATGGACAATCATAGAAACATGGAACTAACAAGATGAATTCAACAAGAACATTTAGAACTTGCTTGCTCAGCTCATTCAAAAAAACCCCACATTCTTCCCTACTTTAGGCACCTTAGAATTACCCCAGTTTTTTTATATTGTTCTCTTTTGTATTGTTTGTTTAAAATTAAATGAAAATTTCTCTTCCTTTATTTTACTATCTTTTGGATATTATCTATCTTTTTAATTTCTTTTTGATTTCTGGCAAAGGGGGAGAAAGTGATATATGATTTTGATATACCTATTCTTAAGGTCATGATCCCAAATACTTATTTCAATAAACCTGTGTTTAATATTTAACTAGAAACTTAAAAAAATTTCATTATCTTTTAGAACAGGCTATCAGAAGTTATGACCAAGAAGAGTGCTCGAAATGAGCTTGCTCTGATGCAATACATTATTCAATGAAGAATATGTCTTGACCACTCATTAATCAGAAGCAAAGAATAATATAAAATAACGTCTATGAGTGTTCTGATACCTCAGGCTTGTCAGAAATTTTGAACTTTCTGAAAGCATGGTAGCTAGACTCTAGTACTTCAAAGGTTGAGAACCTTATGGATATCCGATCAAGACATGGTCATTCAGGAAATGTTCAAGTTCTGTGCCTCCTGATGACATGCTGCATTGTGCACCTTTTGGTGACTTGTTCAAGATATTGAAAGAACTAATTTATGTTACATTATGTGATACATCAAAGAAAGTTACTAATTAGGTTCTGATACGTCGTCGTGTTCTGATAGCAAGCCAGGTTCTGAGATGAAGACCAGACAGTTCTAGTCAGACTCTGATGAGACGTCACTGAGAAGTATTCCTTCTCTGTTCTTATACTTTATAATTCAAAATCATTTTGTGAGTCTTGGGATCAGGGAGAGACTATGAACAAGCATAAATGAATTTTAAGAGTAACATATTCAAGGGGAGTTGATTAGTTTAACTCTGATTCTATGGTTTATAGTTATTACCTTGTACGAATTGCTATATCAAAGTACATGGTTTGTCATTATCAAAAAGAAGGATATTGTAAGAACAAGATTGGTTTTGCATCTGGCCTTAAGTTTTGATGATAACTGCACATATTATCTTAGATAACAATTCGATACTCTACGATTTTTGTCTAGTGTGTAGCTTTTTCTAAACATGATCTGACTCTGATAGAAAGGCGTGTGACGTCATCAAACTCTGATCTAAACACTCTGGAAGAAAATATATGGTGTTCCTTGTTAAAGTCAAATTTCAGAAATGCTCCTAATGCAACGGTTTTGAAGAACGTTAGTACTAGAGTTTTTGATCATGAATTTGTGTGTAAGCCTTGAAGGCTTTCTAAGAGATGTGCTTTTATCGCTACAAGCTCTGAAGATTCTGAAGACAAGGTTCTATTGAACGAAGTTCTGAAGATTCTGAAGACATTATTTATATTGCAACAAAGCTCTGAAGATTCTGAAGACAAGGTTCTGTTGAACGAAGTTTTGAAGACTCTGAAGACAAGTATGTGTTGAACAAGTTCTAAAGATCCTAAAGATGAGATTCTGTTGAACGAGTTCTGAAGTTTTTGAAGACATCATTTCTAAAAAACCAAGTGCTGAAGACTCTTAAGACAAGGTTTTGTTGAACGAAGATCTGAGACTCTGAAGACTTCTGTTTTGAAGTTACAAGTATTGATCCTTCTACAACATGCTTCATCAATTATACATTTGAAACCTCTGAAGAGCTAGAAGACAGAAGATCAATAATCATTGAATAATATGCTGAATATAAAAGTACAAAGTAGTATGTGACATCTACCTAGATATGGTGGCACAAGAAAAACTCGTTTGTATTATGATGTGACCATTTCTTCAAGTGACCGTTGGGAACTTACTGTTGGAATACATTTCCATCTATACCCTCCAATGAATATATTATCGAGCTCTATATATTGAAGATCTGAATCCTTGAAGCAAAGCGATGAGAATAGAAGATAAGTGAAGAGATGTAGAGAATAACAAGAAGAATAGAGAGAGTTGAAGAAAACACGAGAGTATGTGTGCGAAGCAGCAGCAAAGCACCAACATGTAAGCTAAAAAAGAAGATGCTTGTTGCTCAAACAAAAGATAGAGCGTTGCTCTATAAGAAAAAGAAAGAAGCACTAAAAGAAACTTTTAAGCAACAAAATTCATGCTGATACGATGCAAATCTCTTAAAGATTATTCTTAAGATAGTTTTGTATATTAGCAAAGAATTGTTGTTCATATCTTGTTAGAAACACTTTTGTGTTTGATGTACTTAAACTTGTGTAATCTGTTTGTTTAGAAACAATTCTTTGTACGCACATTTGGAACACTTTTCAAAGTGGTTATTCCTCAAGTGACTAAGTCGTTAGTCAATATACTTGAGAGTGCTAAGTTGTTTTCTAACACTTAGAGGTTGTGATGCAATCTTTCAAGATTATTGGATTAAATCTTTTTCTAAAGCGAAATCACATTTGTGGATGGACTGGAGTAACTTTGTTAACAATGAATCAGGATAAAAATAATTGTGTCTATTTATTTTTATTCTCTTGTTAGCATTGAAGTTTGAATCATGTAAAAGTTCATATTTGGTGAGACCCAATTCAAACCCCCCTTTCTTGTGTTTCTCGCCCCTTCGCTAAATTGTTTTGCTTAAAATGTTCTGGAGATGCATCTTTGAAATAAAAATAACCCAATATATGAGGCGCCTCACATAATGACCTTTTGTTGAGTGTGTCTGGGGTGCGTCTAGAGATGTATCTCTAAAATCAAGGGATATATGTGAAAATTCACATAGTGCATTAGAAACATCTAAGGTGCGATAAGAAATTCTTAATTTTAAGATATGTCCTCATTTTAATGAGTCTCTAAAGCCTAACTCACTTAAACTTTTCATGCTAAATGATTTCTTTGAGTTGCTATTTCCACCTTTACGTGCATCCCACATCTTTGAAAATCTAAAAATAGCATTCATGCGTTCAGAGATGCATGTCCAGACGTATCTAAATCATACTAGAATGCATTATTCTGAGATCCATTCTATTTTGTTAAAAAAAAATTTCTAAAAATGTATTTTCGAATACACTCAATTTTTCACAAAATAAGGTTGACACAATAATTTGTGCTGAAACGGGTGTAAAAAAATGTGTCTCAAAATATATATCCGAATGAATGACTTAACAATTTGTACTGAAAAATATATAAAAAAAATATGTTCGAAGATATATTTTTGGACATTTAAAATTTTTCATAAAGGTGAAAGAGAACACATAAAGTGGAAAAAGTGAAAAGAGTAATGAGCCAAATTGGTTCGAAGTTATTCCAAATATTGATGGCCCAATTGTTTGAAATTTCCATCACCCTCCTCCACACAAAGAATAACAGATAATCCCCATAAAGCATTCCAATCTTTCAGATTAAATTAAATAAAAAAAATAAGGAATAGATAAGTCCCAATTGCATTGATATATTCTTCTCAGCAAGGAAATTATGATTTCACTACAACCTTACAAATTTTGTCTTCAAACACCATTTTTGTGCTACCCTTCAAACGTTGGTATAAATCAACATAAACAAACACAAACAAGCCTGGTAGCACAGAGGAAGATTAAAGTACATAGAAGAGAAGTCAAATGCAATGCAGGAGAAAAGAAAGGTGAGAGGAGAACGTTTTTGACACTTGAAGAAGCTGGTTTGGTTGAGATGTCTGGGTTGAGCACTCACGAGCGTTTTCTGTGCCGTTTAACGGTACTTACCTTAACTCTGTTGTCTTGTCATAAGATATCTACTAGGATTGTGTTTTTTCATTGATTGTTTTTAATGAACGAATGAGTTTTCATATTGTTTATGTTTGTAGATATCTTCGTTGAATTTACTAAAAGTGATATCAGAACAAGAAGGTTGTCCAATAGAGGAGCTCAATGCTGGAAAGGTATGTGATTGGTTTCTAAAAGACAAGCTCAAAAGGGAACAGAACATTGATTCTGCTGTTCTTCAATGGGATGATTCCGACTTCCAATTTTAATTCTTTTTCTTGTTAGTCTGTGACTCTTTCTTGCAATTTGTGCAAAATGTGACTCAAAGAATGCTACTCCCTTGTTTATAATAACAAGAGAATAAGCTTCCACAAATTGCACTTTCTCATGAATCGGATTATTTGTTTTTCAGACTTCAATAAAAATGGCTAAATTTGTATTCCAAGTTCTTCATAATTTTTTCTTTACACAATATTTTCTTTTGTAGTAAAAGAAAAGTGAGAGCATGTATTGGAATAAGTATTTCTTTTGTTTTACTGGTTTAAAATTAAAGTATGAGAAAAATGTAATAAACATGATGTGTAAATATAATTTCTTAATTAAAAAGTACTTTACAAAATTTCAGTAATTTATTGATAAGATTGGACATTAGGGGAATAACAAAAGAATAACTATAACATCAAAATTGCCTTAAAAAACCTAAATAAATCATCAATACTTGGATCAAATCTGATATGCTGGTGAAGAAATCTCATATGTGCCTTGCCGAGCAAGCAGCAGGGAGTGCGCTTGTGCAAAAAACTGGGGGAGTTTTTTTTGTTAAGAAAGGAAATAACGGAATTGAAACTATATTTTTTCCTATTTCAAAAGAAATTCAAAACTATCGACTTTCTTCGCGATGCCACTAAAGATTCCAGAAAAATGTTGAACTGCCTCATATGCGACTTGAGTCCCTTCCAAAAATAAAACGTCGTGTCCAGTCTGTAACTACTAACACCCTTGTGCGCCAGCTTACTTGCTTGCTGTTCAAAAGATTGAATGAGAATCAGTAACTTGATGAGAAGAATGTCTCAAAATTCAAACAATTTTGTGTGTGTGTATATATAAACAATACCTTGCATAGACAGAATACCACAACCATTGACTGCTGTGACCAATTGAAACCCAATCCCCAGGAAGCTGGGCAGCTGTCTGTTCTCCTCCCAAAGGAGCGAACTGACCTAAGTGCTTGTACCTTAAGGAGCAAGCAACAAAGTGCAACAATGAGTATATATCATTGGTCTAACTTATGAAAAAACTTGAAATTTGTAATGAAATCGGGTTAAATATGAGAGCTTCTAAGACTTATTGTACCGGAAGGGATTGAAGCGATGACGACCTTCTCCCCTGAACCTGAGAGGACCCTCTGGATTTTTCTCACACTCTTCCATTCGGTTAAAACACTGGGCTAGGTAAATTCCTTGCTGAGATGCAACCTATAGATTTCAAATCAATGAGAAACATGCTTAATTTAAATACCAATAAAGAGAATGCCACAAGCAAATGAGATATCATGCACCTGTGCTGTTGCAGGGAGAAATTTCATCCGCGAATCCACTTTGGAAAGAGCTGTTTTGAGTTCTTCAATATTCAGTTCAATTGTTTCTTTTTTAACATCTCCCTTGGCTTCCTTCAATAAATCAGCAATGTTGCGCATCTGCTTACTTTTCAGGTACTGCTCAACTTGAGGATATCTTACACAAATGTCATTCACGACCTCTTGAAATTCTTTGACAGTAAGTGTTCCTAAATTGCGTCTGTCAGCCTTCTTAAAGATCGCTGCAATATCTTCCTGTAATGCCAAAGCCAAGCCAATAAAAATCAACAGTAAAAAAAGAGTATATTTAAAGCAAAGGGAAATGAAAAAACCAATGATTAAATAGTGTTTACCATGACTTTTCGCTGATTTATCGTAGCACAGTCACCGAGCGCATAAACATTGGTGCATCCTTCAACTCTCAACCATTCATCAGTAGCTAGAGCACGTCTGCTAGCCTGTTTAGAAGAGAGAATGACTGAAAAATAGTAAATAAAATGGAAATATGAAATGTATAAAGACAAATTTCTCAACAACACACCTGACCAATTTGTGACATGAAATCTTTAATAAAGGGACGAGTGCCGATACCAGTTGACCAGACAGCCATTCCATATGGAATTATAGTAATATTTCCTCCATTTTTCAACTCTTTAGTGGAAATTTCTTTCTCAGATACTTTCACAACCATGGATCCTGTTTTCACATCAATCCCAGTTCTATGAAACTTGTCTTCAGCGAAAGCAGTTATCCTTTTGTCAAACCTATGAAAACAATAAAGAAAACACATCAAATGTGACAAACTATATTTGACAAGGTATCATCAGAAGAACAAATAATCACAAAGTGTGGTTAATGTTTCATATTCTCACATGCTCAAGATATGATCTCCAGCTTCCAGAAGTGTAATTTTTACTAAATCTTTTATCCCGGGATATAAATGGACTAAATCCTCATTAACAAAGTCATGAAGTGAAGCTGCAAACTCTACTCCAGTTGGCCCGCCTCCAACAATAGCAAAATGAAGAATTCTTTTCTTTTCTTCCTCGCTTACTTCAGGCAAGTTTGCTCTCTCAAAACAGTCTATAACTGTTCTTCTAATCTTCTGCGCATCTTCAACTTCCTACAATTTACCAGAATAAACAGAATCCAATTAACATTTTTAGTCACCATGGTAACTACGGATTTTGGACATGATGGTAGGTACCTTCAAAAAATGACAATTCTCCACTACTCCTGGCGTGTTAAATGTGTTGACATTAGCACCCACACCGATGATTAGGTAATCGTAGTCCACAACAAATTCTTCTTTCCCATTCAAACTATTGTTTCCATTAGATTGACAATAAACTTTTCTATTTTCAGCATCAATCTTGAAACATTCTGCTTCACTGAATTGCACGTCCACCTTTTTCTGCTCCAATGAAAACAGGTAAAAAGGAACTAATTATATAGCCATCATTTGCAGAATCTACTTGACCGCCAATAAAATATTGGCATAAATAAAATAGATTCACTAGAAATCTAAAAACTAAAATCTGCATTTCCAAATGGTAACTTGTTGATTCTGGCTGTATCACACCATAGAAGTGGTATCTAGCTAACAAGAACAAAGACAAATTTCACAGTCAAATCTTTCCTCAAGACATAACATGTAGAATTACAGCCGTAATTACACTTTCAATTCCTCTAATCTTAACTGTATGTGACGTTGATCCCTAATAATTTTTTTAGTTAATCACAGCCTTATTTTTAAACCTTTAAGGAAGAATTGAAGACATATTTATATATGGCGGGTTCAGAAATTAATAGCTTAGCAAAAAGTGCAATTGAGTCAAAACAGAGAGCTCTTCAATTGCCAATGATGAAAAAAAATTCATGGGAAAATTAAACAACTTAGGAACCACATTCATGGAGTATTTCTTAATTATTAAATGTGAGCATAAAATAGTTTGCCAACGGCAGCTTTTAGTGGTACATTTAGTATATTATTAACCGTTGATAATTCTTACAAATACAAAAACAGTTGAAGATCTTTATGTTCTTCAACTAGTTTTACAAATTTTATGCCAATGTTTTCCATTATCATTTTTTAAAGAGATTTATATTTTCTGTTACATCTTATTTGTTTCCTCAATAATAAAGTTAATAGTGATTGAAAAAATAATTTATCTCGACTCATTTTAAAGACATTTAAAACTATTGTATATTTAGGATTGTGTTCGAATTCAAATTAAGTTGGAAGAGAGTTTTTATAGTCTCAATTAAGTGCTCTTGGGCAATAATTTATCACAGTTGAAAAAACTAAACGTTGAATAAATTTTTAAAATGTTAATAATCCTCACAATGCAAGAAAGCAAAAAATGTGATATTTTTTTAAATCGGGAAATCCAAATCCAACCTTTAAAACCTACCGAATATAAGAAATTCTGCTCATACGGTACAAAGTTGAGACAAATTTTACTACATTTGGTTGTCGCAATTTCCTTTATAGGTTGGTCATAATTTGATTTAAAAAAAAAACAAAAACAAACAAATGATACAAAATAGAATATAGACAAATTTTACAACATTTGGCTGTCATAATTCTATTTTTAGGTTAGTCATACTTTTTTTAACTAAAGGTTGGCCATACTTTTGAATTAGGGAGGGTAATGGGGGTTTGGGAATGGTAGTAAGCATCCCCATATAGTGGTTATTAAATTATTTATACTCACACTCATATGAATATCCATTTATTTTAATAAATAATTATTTGTATCAGTGTTAATACTCATTTTACGAGTTTTTCCATTATCGATTGTAGAATTTTTTTCCCAAATAGTTAAATATAAAAGACAATTGTTGCTTTGAATATACTGGGATAAAATAAAACAGACAACTAGTTTCCATAAATGCTTATCGACCATAATGATCAACATTATTTCTTATTTTAACGAGTTTAATGGTTATGTAGGGTAAAATAGTTTTATCTCAACAACAATTCATTAGTCAATTATATCATATCAGTAATTTATAAAATTACTGTTTAATTTGGCAAAATACACAATGATAATTAGTTAAGCATGTAAAATTAATTTACATTTACATATCCAATTTTTTCTATTTTAATTTATTATACGTTCTTTAGTTTAGTAGTATTATTTTATTGTTGTTTATGTTAATTTAATAATAATTCATAAATGTCTTTTGCATCTTATGTTATAAAAGTAATATATTTTAGATTGTTCATGCAGGTTTAGCATATTTATGTCTACGTATAATATACATAAGGTAATTACAAAATGATTTATCTAAATTCTCTGAATTTCATGCACATATTCATTAAAATAATTTAAATCATCTAATGTAGAATATATAAAATAATCGGTAAAGGGCTTAACTATACACTAAAAGTATAAAACAGTTATACAAATGCATCCCATCATATTATATTGTAGAGATGCATAAAGTGACCTAACAAATTGACATCATGGTGGCATATTATTACATGTATAAATAGACTATATACCATATATTAAATGGGATCAACTCGATCAGTTTAATCGGTTGGACTGAAAATCGGAGATAAATTCAATTGGGATAATTTTTTAATATAGTTCGTGGATTAAAGCTGGAGTAAAATCGAAAAAATCAAATTGAACCATCCAAGATCATTTGAATCAAAAAAACAATGTCAAATTTGTAAAATCATATGATTAAAAAAAATATCAAATTGACTCTTTTAAGAAAAAAAAAAATTAATGTATCAATATCAAAACTTAACATACATTTTTCATTGTCAAAAAAAATTTAGTATTTTTCTTACAACCATACAAATTTTTAAGTTTTATCATTCCATTATAATTTTTCTTTCAACCACATTTCATTATCATCACGTCGTTTTGAAAAAATATTCAAGTTGTCCAGCTCAATATTGATTATCGATCAAATCAATATTATATATTGTTGTCAATCAAATTTATTTTTTGTTGTTTAATTATGTATATTGTATTGTTTATTTTTGATATTTTATCTTATTTAATTTAGATATTCTCAATTATTTAAACTTTATTTTAGATATTATGCTTTATTATTTTAATTTTAGTTTAAATTAATTTAATTTATTTTGTTATAATTATTCGATTTTTTCAAATTAATTTTAAATGAAAGTTGATATGAAGTGTACATCGTATTATTACATATATTATATATATTGTTATATTAAGTTTGTAATAAATTTTTTAAATTTATTTTATTAAATTGTGAATATATGAATATACGTAACAAATTTATTATTAATTTATTTAATAAATGATTCGATCATAAATTTAACCTGTCTAATCACTTAAATCTTAAATTGAAAATTTCATCGGTTCAATTTTTAGGATATTTAATAATTGCTATATAGATTACAATTAATTTCAATGTAAGAATTATAATTTAGAAATATTACTAATAATATTATATATGTACTAATGAAGAGAAATTGAGCGGCATTTAAATATGTATGTACCTTCCTAAAAATATTGCGAACAGGTTCAACAATGCTGCGCGCTTCGACTGTTCCACACGTCACGCTAGGCAGCAAAGGAGTGAATGCAAAATAATTGCGAGGCGAAATAACTTGAACTTCATACTTCGGATTATCCAGATTCTTCATGAAACTCGTTGCCGCCCAACCAGTTCCGAGCACCACCACCTTTTTCCTATCGGTAACCGCTTCCGATGGAGCCAATTCACCATATGCCACAATACCACCACCACTGCATCAACCACACACAAAATCCATCACATATCACATATCTACAATTCTGCCTCTACACAATGTATTCAAATTCATGAACTAAAACATTCATGAACTAAAACAGAGTAAATTCTCAAATAGAGGATTATTAAAATTTTAACATAAAAGATTTATTACTAAATAAATTATAGATCTAACCGTAAAGTGAATACAAAATTGAAGCAAACACGAGTAATATGCGTGAAAAATAAACAATGAATAATGATAGTATATGAATAAATAAAATGGTGAAGAATGAAGTTGAAGATAATGAACTATACCTTACGGCGGTGCAAAGAAGAACAAGCTTAACGGTTCTGTGATTGTCACGGAAAGTTCTAGAAAGACGTTGGAAGAAAGAGAAACTTGCCATTTTTTTTCTCGGTTTATGATTTGTTTGGTAAGGTAATGGTAGCGAGAATGTGAATCCAAGTTTGTGGGAGAAGAAAACAGAGATAAAAGTAGGAGAAAAAAGGCACGCAAGAAAATTGGAAAAACAGTAGGGTTTTAGGGTACCGAGTTTGAAGTCATAAATAACGGTTTGAAGGTTTATGTTGATTTGACATATTTGCCCTTTCTTGACTTGGAGGTTAAGTCAGGATTTTATCAGATCTACAATTCTATATCTACACAATGTATTCTATATTTATACTCAACTTTTAGTTTTGGTCTTTGAGTGTCACTTTGACATGTCATGATAACCCACTTAAATGTAAAGTTTATATTAAATTAATATATAAATAATATTATGCTCTACTTTGGATTTTAACTAAACATAACAAAATACTTTATATGATAATTTATTTTAATTCATTTAAATTTTTTAATATGATTTTAATATCTGCCATTAGAGTGTTTTAAAGCTTTAGATTCACTAAGTTTTTGTTGAGATTTAATTCTTACAAATATTTTGTTTGAAGAACAAGTTTTTTTTTTAAATTGTCAATAATATATTAATAAAGAATGACAAGTGTTATATCTACTCCGTGTCGCATCGCTCTGAAGGAGAGGCTGGCAAAGACAGAAGAGTCGTCACCGTTCGTTATTTATCTCAAAGAGAGGGAAAGGAAACGATCAGAGAAAACCTACGGAAAGAGAATAAGACAGGTCATCACGACCAAATCTCGGGTTCGGGAGTTGGTTACGCAAGGGGAAGGTATTAGCACCCTTCACGCCCGTCGTACTCGACGGGATCCACGCTTATTGTATATCTAAAAGGGTGTAAAATTATCTAAGTTACAGGCTCACGGGGGGAAAAGAAAAGGAAAGAGAAGAGACTCGATAGAGCATCGCCGCTCTATGCCTACGTATTCCCTCGTGCAATGGGAAAGTCAGAGTCAATGTAGTTCGAGAAACTACGGGTGAAGGTGGGGGAAGGTTGCTCGCCAAGACATCGTCGTCTTGTGCCTACGTATCCTCGTCTAGTACGAGAAATCAGAGCAAACGTAGTTCGGGATGACACGACCAAATATTGGTTCAAGTGTTTTAAACCGAGCAGGGTTAAACCTTAGTTCTAACAGTTAGGTGTATGCAGCTCGACCACTGGAGACTTAGGCGTTACCTATTTGCAGTAGAACTAAGAGTTAACGAAACTCTCTTTATGAAAACGATTTTCCATTAATCCCGAAGGATAAAAAGGTTTGATGTTTTTGTTTTTGTGGTTTTTAAGATAAGAAGTGAATTGAGTTATGGTTTAAAACTCATGTCGCACTAAAGACTATGACTCGAGAGGGAATGCGTCGCATATCGCCCAAAGGGCATACGCTAAACACTCTAGAGAGTTGAGAGGAGACCCCTCAACCATCATTTCTCAAATACTTAAGGCTCGTAGCGTACGACACAAGTTATCCTTTATTAGGTGTTTTGAATTGTTTAGGAGATGAGAAGAGAAAGACACAGACTAAGGGGAAACTGGACCCTAAAGTTGTCATGCACAATGCTCCTAAAGTTAGGATGAAGGGAAAGAACTACCCTAATGTTGTCATGCATAGGATTGAACACCTAATGTCTCTCCTACTCCCATCCTAAACGGGGGGACTAGGAATCCTAGGGGGATCATGGCACAAGGCCAAGTAAACACTAAATAATTCACTCACAAGTGAAATGAGAAAGAAAAGAAATTAATTGGAATAAAAGATAAACCACTAAGCACATTAATTTGTAAATTCAAAAATAAAATGATAAACTAAAATGAAAATTAAAATAAAAAGACGAAAAATAAGTTAACACAATAAAATAATTTTTTTGGATTTTATGACATTTAAAACTATTCTTAAAATAAATAAAATAAAATAAGAAATAAAACAAAAAGAAATTAAATAAACAAATGCTAAAAAAGAAGGAAATGCATCACCCAAGGCTTGAACTCAAGACCTTGGGGCTACAAGCTCAAAACATAGCTAATTCTACCACTTTCACGCGTGTGCCATAAAAGGAAAAGGAAAATAAAAATATTAAAAACAAGGAAAATAAATGAAAAAAAAAAGCAAAAAACGCCCCCGTTGGGGTCGAACTCAGGATCGTTCTCTGACATATCAGAATTGTGAGGAGGATCATTGCGAGCCAGGGGAATGGTGATACCCCGAATTGGCAGCCCTCTTTTGATTATATCATCGACAATTTTCCTATTTGATTTTTCTACGTAAGTCGCGCCTTCCCTGTTGCTGATTCGCCTAAGTTCTTTAGTAGTGGGAGGAGGATACTTGCGCTTGGGTTCTTCAGCAGTAAGAGGTTCATCTTTTGAGGCTTTGGGAGGGGTCTTGGAGGAGGAGGCATTATAATAGGAAGACATCTTGATGTAGAGTGCAGCTTGGGAATTCTGTAGAAAGGAGGAGGCGGAGAAAATTGTAGATGCAGAGATATAGCACGTTTGCGTGGAGAGGGGAGTTTTTGTGGTCAAGGTCGTGGACTGCATTAAATTTTTAAACTCCCACGTGCCATTAATTGCTATGATTCTTCATTTATGCAGATACCCAATTTGCCTCTCAAATTCTCAAACTGAGCAGCATCAAGGGCCTTAGTAAAAATGTCAGCCAGTTGTACTTCTGTGGATACATGTTCCAAGGAGACCACTTTATCTTCCACAAGGTCTCTTATGTAGTGATGTCTTATATCAATGTGCTTAGTTCTACTATGCTGAATTGGATTTTTGGAGATATTGATAGCACTAAGATTGTCACAATACAGTGTCATGATATCCTGCGTGACATTGTATTCTATCACCATTTGCTTCATCCAGACCATCTGAGAGCATCTACTGCCAGCTGCTATGTATTCAGCTTCTGCAGTGGACAGTGAGACACAATTTTGCTTTTTGCTAAACCATGATATGATATTATTCCCCAAGAAGAAGCATCCACCAGAGGTGCTTTTTGTATCATTAGCACTTCCAGCCCAGTCAGCATCACAGTATCCAGACAATGTAGGATCACACCCATGTGTGTACATTATACCATACTCACTGGTTCCATTCGCATATTTGAGAATCCTTTTGACTTGATTTATGTGACTTACCTTAGGGTTTGCTTGATATCTGGCACATACACCAACTGCAAATGCAATATCAGGTCTGTTGGCTGTTAGATACAATAAGCTTCCAATCATGCTTCTGTACAGGCTTTGATCCACACTAGTACCACTTTCATCTTTTGATAACTTTAGATGAGTAGATGCAAGTGTTCTTTTGTGGCCAGCATTATCTAAGCCAAACTTTTTGATTATGCTTTTGGTATACTTACTTTGGGAGAGAAATATGGACTCCTCCATTTGCTTGACTTGCAGCCCAAAAAAAGTAAGTTAGTTCTCCACACAAGCTCATCTCAAACTCAGATTGCATCTGATTGACAATTGTTTAACCAATTTCTCAGACATTCCACCAAAGACTATGTCATCCACATAGATTTGAGCAATCATGAGTTTTCCATCCTCATTTTTCACAAAGAGGGTCTTGTCTATTCCTCCTGTCCTGTATCCATGGGTAGTAAGAAACTCAGTCAATCTTTCATACCAAGCCCTAAGAGCTTTCTTCAATCCATAGAGAGCCTTCCTTAACTTGTATACATGGTCTATCAAGTTAGGATCCTCAAATCCCTTGGGTTGTGCTACATATACTTCCTCATTTAGATATCCATTCAGAAATGCACTTTTCACATCCATTTGGAACAGTTTGAATTTTAGAATGCAAGCAATTCCTAATAGTATCCTGATGGATTCAAGTCTTGCAACTGGTGCAAAGGTTTCATCAAAGTCAATTCCTTCTACTTGAGTGCACCCCTGTGCCACCAGTCTAGCCTTGTTTCTGACTACAATTCCCTGTTCATCTGATTTGTTCTTGTAAATCCATTTGGTGCCAATGATGTTTGTTCCTTCAGGTCTTGGCACTAGTTCCCATACTTCATGTCTTTTAAACTGTTCCAATTCATCTTGCATGGCCTTGATCCAGTATTCATCAGTTAAGGCTTCCTTCACATTTTTGGGTTCAATCTTGGACACAAAACATGAATTTGAGACAACTTCTCTAGCTCTGGTCCTTACCCCGCTGTTGAGGTCTCCAATGATAAGATCTTTGGGATGATCTTTCAGGATTCTGATAGAAGGTTCTCTTATGGTAGTTTTTGGTTCAGACTTCGGAGTTACAGCTTGAGTATCTTCAGTATTCACTACACCATCAGTTGGTGTCTCAAGCAATGTTCCAACATCCTCTATGACATTGATTTCTTCATACTGATCATCAATGACCATATTAATGGATTCCATCAAGACTTTTGTTCTGGAGTTGTACACTCTATAAGCTCTGCTGTTGATAGCGTATCCCAGAAAAATGCCTTCATCACTCTTGGGATCCATTTTCCTCCTTTGTTCACGATCTGTCAAGATGTAACACTTGCTCCCAAACACGTGGAAGTACTTCACAGTTGGTTTCCTTCCTTTCCACAATTTATAAAAAAGTAGATGATGTTCCTTTTCTCAAGGTCACTCTGTTGTGAACATAACAAGCTGTGTTCATAGCCTCTGCCCAAAAATACATAGGTAATTTTTTTGCATGTATCATAACTCTGGCAGATTCTTGGATAGTCCTGTTTTTCCTTTCCACTACTCCATTTTGCTGAGGAGTAATAGGAGAGGAAAACTCATGGCTGATCCCTTCAGATAAGCAGAACTCAGCAAACTTGAAGTTTTCAAACTCCTTGCCATGATCACTTCTGATCCTGACCACACCACATTCCTTTTCTCTTTGGAGTTTGATACACAACTCCTTAAAGACTTCAAATACATCTGATTTTTCTCTGATGAAGCTTATCCAGGTGTATCTGGAGTAGTCATCCACAACTACATAGGCATACTTTTTACCACCAAGACTTTCTACTTGCATTG